TTGTCCTATGGTTTCTTTTACTTAAGCGTGAGCAATGCCAAAGTCTCCAGTAAAATTCCACTACCTCACTACATTGCAATGTATAATGTGAACTAATATGTATTAACAAAGTTAATTCACTTTCATACTATAAAGACTGATTGATTTAGTAGTTAGGGAAGGGAACTTTCATAACAAAAGTAAACGTGAGGTAAGAATCTACCTGGTTATGGAAATTTAGGCTATGTGAGTAGTACCTGCAAGGCTTGTCAGCTTTGTGAAAGCTTAAAGTCCTGTCTATTGAGCAGCTTAAACTTTGAAGCTGTAGACTATAAGAAACATGTACTTAAAGGATTTTGGTTTCTTAGGTTTATAAGAAATTAACTACTGACATTTCTCATGACAAAACAGAATTTTAGAAGTGGCTGAAGGCAAAGTAGGTGCACACTGCCCACTTGATCTTGGTGAGGTTTAGAGAGCAGGGTTTCCTAAGACTGGTTCAGAGCTCCCAGTCCGGCACCGGCACAGATTTCTGAAGAGGCAGTGAGGGAGAGCATAGGTGTCTCGGCCCGTTGTGCCTGCTCTGTGAGCCTCCCTGGTGGAAGAGTGGTTGTGCCAGCACCTGAGACCTAGGAAGAAGGATGACGGGTGCTCCTTGCCTGCCCCAGGGGTAGGAGGACAGGGCTGGCTTCCATAGGTGCTGTGCTGAAGCAAGAGAAGGCAGTGGCAGCAGTGGCCACAGGGGTGGTGTTGCTGACATGAAGTAACTTCATGCTTAACACACAGAGTGATGCCTCTATGGTTTAGGGCTACCATGAGGAAGAGTACCAGGAATTCAAGAGCAGTTGCCAAGAAGATTCAACCAAGAAGGTTGAAAATTTCAGTGTGCCTAGCAGTTGCAGGTACAAGTACCAACATGCAGGCTTTAAATAACATAAGGCTAGGCAGTATTTAAGCAAACACCTTCAGTCTTTGCCAAGGGAATGCTGCACATGAATGCAGACAAAACTATGATGGTCATATTTTGCCTTAGTCCCTGAATTTACATGAGAGGAAGCTTAGCATTTGCTTTTTAGAGAATACTTTATTAAAACAGTCACTAATTTTAGTAATGCATTTATGCTTGCTAAGGTCAAGTGCTTAGGTGAAATAGCAATAAGCATAGTATATGGCATTTGCAATCTTGAAGCGCGGTCAGGCCCTCCTGCAGTTATAGTTAAGAAGAAATGAGTGAAAATCAAATAAATAGCTCCAATATATTTTTATTTGTTACTGTCTGAATTCAGCACCTTTATTATAGCACCCCATTTTTCAAAATTTTCCCATTTTTTTTGTAAAACCCTTTTCCTCTCTTCCTGTTTCCTATCCAAGTGCCCCTAAATGTGTGATTTCTTGATGCAAGTGCCATGCTTCTGTCACCCAAATGTTCTTCTAACAGCCTTCGGTAATGTAGCTTAGGTTTCCGCTTACAGACTTTGTGAGACAGAGCAATGTATTTCAGTTCACATCTGTAAAAGGAATTGCAGAGGCACAGAGTGATTTATTTTATCTGCAGTTATACGAGTTCAGTAGCACAAGGACTTTAGTCCAATGACTAGAACTGGCCCATGTCACAGAACCACAGGGTGCTGAGGCTGGAGGACATCTCTGGACACTTTGCAGTTCCACTACCTGCTCCAGCAGGGTCAACCACCACAGGTTGCCCACATCTGTGGCCAGCTGGGTTTTCAATATTTTGAATATGTGGAGAAGGTGCTATCTGCAAGAAACAACTTTCCCCAAAGCACAGAAAATACTTAAGCTCTTTCCAAGCTGCTGTTCGTGGCAGTGCTTTGGAAGCTCCTTTTAAGCTTAAGGAGGAGATCTGGGACCTGTGGCTTTGCCATTTGATGTTTGATGTTGGTTTGCCAGTGAGGGTTGTAACAAGAAGAGAATCACCAAGCATCCAAACCATTGCTTGGAGGGAAAGTCATCACATCACTTACGGACACGCAAAATTACGAACTGTAAGAAAAAAACCACACCGTGATATATACAACTTGAGACTGGGCAGGTTGTGATTAAAATGCCAAATATTTGCTTTTGTATTCACTACTTGATTGAAGGGACTCTTAAGGAGTTCTGAAGGATTTCTTAAACCTTTTGTATCTATTGCGTAGTTCTCTTTTAGCCCTTCTTGTTTCTGGATAAATCAGCTCAGCATTTGGCAGGACTGGTGCCATTGTGTTAATTCTCTAGCTTTGTAGTTGACTCGGTTCTTCTGTATGCTTTCTGCTGATTTAATGCTATTCATTCTGTTCTCTTATTCCTACATCAAATCATCCCCAGAAAACTCTGCTTGTAGCTAAAGTTTAGAGCCCCATTGTATTTTCCCACTTTCTACTGCTCAAAGGGACAATAAAATTTGCCCAATGCACAGAAAACTTTTAGACAAGCAGAATTCCCCAAACTGTACTTCAAAATATGGGTTTTTCTCCTCCAGTTAATGGCTTGTTTTACCATGTTCTGTTAAAAAGCCCTCACATGACTACAGTTATTTAAGTAAATAGCTTTGAGTCAAAAAGTGACCTTATAAGCTTTTTTCCTTGTTTATTTAAAATATTAAATTGCCACTTTTGGGTGGAAGGAATACTTAGTAATTCAGATATGAAAATAAATCACAGATTAGTCTAAAACCTATTTTCTAGCAGTCAGGTCAGAAAAATATTAGGCCACAAAATTGCATAACTTTTTCCATACTGTATTTTCAAGATTAGTGCAGATAAAGTAACTTTTCAGGGAAGTACCTTTTGAATCACTGTAAAAAAATAAATATGGTACTTATTAGGGTAGTCATGCATATTTTTGAAGAGGAAATAAATCTTTTTATTGGTTGCAGCAGAGTCTTAGCTGATTTTATTTCCATCAGATACATTAGTGAACACTCCAGATGTGCAGAAAGCAGACACTCCCCAGATGTAAAAAATTATCTTTGTTTTTTGACTGATTTACAGCTGTTATTTGTGTTTGGGCCATATTTGTTTTAGGTTGGAAGGAGCTTCATTCTTTGGAGCAAAGCTTTTTGTTTTCTGTTGCTCTGCAGAGAAACTAAACTTGAAAAGCAGCATCAATAGGTGGCTGCTTATAGGAGGAACAGGGTTTGAAACCAACTGTATGGGATTTAATTTCATGAAGCTACAGGCAGGGCTAATTATAAACTGCTGCTTGGCAGTGGGAGTAAACATCCCATCTGTGTTTCCTGACACAGAGGGATCTTGCCGGCAAACCTCGGCCCTGGCTGAGAGGAGTAAAGTTTTAAGTATGTTCCTCCACCCGCAGCAAGTGGTTTTCATGTTCCAGATTCTCCGTTTAAAACTTTAGAAAGGCAGTTCTTACAACAAGGTATAGAGAACCAAGTCACCTTTGTCCCAGGCTTTTTGTGATTAAATCGCTCCTCTTGGACAAGTTGGAAAATAACTGTCAGAATGTGAGCTGAGCAGCAGAAGTCTTTTACTGTAGGTGACTAATGCTGGTGGGGTAAAACCTGGGTTGGAATCAAGTGCTGGTAAGCTTGAAAAGCAATTGTAAGACATATGGTGGCTTTGCTCTGTTATTTGAAGTGTTTCATGAACAATTTTCAATGTGTTGGCCTTCCTGTATTTTCTGTAGCTTCCATTATGGCCAGGTGTTGAATATTTCTGCTCCTCCTGTTTTCAGTCCGCCAAGGGGAAGGAGTACAAAACATGGGAGTATAAAATCCGGTTTCCCTGCTGGAAGTTGGAGAAGCTGCTTTTTGCCTGGTGGCCCAAGAGTTCCTGCCCTTGTGGCTACCAGCATCCTCATCCCCCGTGAGCGCTGCCAAACCTCATGTAAACTCAACAGAGATGAGAGGCCTCCTTGAGCTCAAGATGTTTGTAGATTTCATGAAAATGAGCAGCTAGGGAGCAGGAAAGACCCAAGCTGGGCAATCACCAACCATATAAAATCTAACAAGAGCAAGTGCTGGATTCTCCACCTGTTACACATACAAATTGGGGGATGAGAGGCTGGAGAGCAGCCCTGCGGAAAGAGACCTGGGGGATTGGGTTGATGTCAAGTTGAACATGAGTCAGAAGTGTGCCCTGGCAGCCAAAGGGGCCAACCATGTCCTGGGGTGCATCAAACACAGGTTGGGGGTACTGGTGGATGAAAAGCTGGACATGAGCCAGCAATGTGCGCTCGCAGCCCAGAAGGCCAACTGTATCCTGGGCTGCATCCAAAGCAGCATGGCCAGCAGGTCGAGGGAGGGCATGCTGCCCCTGTACTCCTCTCTGGTGAGACCCTACCTGGAGTCTTGAATCCTGCTCTAGAGCCCTCAGCACAGGAAAGACATGGACCTGTTGGAGAGGGTCCAGAGGAGGGCCACCAAAATGATCAGAGGGATGGAACACCTCTGCTGTGAGGACAGGCTGAGAGAGTTGGGGTTGTTCAGCCTGGAGAAGAGAAGGCTCGGGGGAGACCTTACTGCAACCTTCCAGTACTTTAGCGGGGCTTATAAGAAAGATGGAAACAGACTTTTTAGCAGGGCCTGTAGTGATAGGACAAGGGGTAATGGTGTTAAACTAAAGGAGGACAGATTTAGACTAGATATGAGGCAGAAGTTTTTCACAATGAAGGTGGTGAAACCCTGGCACAGGTTTCCCAGAGAGATGGTAGATGCCCCATCCCTGGCAACATTCAAGGTCAGGTTGGATGGGGCTCTGAGCAACCTGATCTAGTTGAAGCTGTCCCTGCTCCTTGCAAGGGAGTTGGACCTTTAAAGGTCCCTTCCAACCCAAAGATTCTATGATTCTATAGCTAGCCAGTAGCCAGTTGAGGGAGGTGGTTGTCCCACCCTAGACTGCAATGGTGCAGCCCCACCTCAAGTACTGTGTGCAGTTTTGCACACCTCAGTATAAGGACATGAAACGGTTGGACTTCATGATCTTAAGGGTCTTCTCCAATGTAAGTGATTCTATGATTCTGTGAAACTATTAGAGTGTGTCCAGAGGAGGGCACCCGAGATGGTGAAAGGCCTTGAGGGCAAGACTTACAAGGAGCATCTGAGGTCACTTGGTTTGTTCAGCTTGGAGAAGAGAAGGCTGAGGTGTGAACTCATCGCTGTCTACAACTTCCTCAAGGGGGGCAGTGGAGGAGGGGGTGATGGTCTCCTCTCTCTGGTGACCACCACTAGGACACGAGGAAATGGAATGAAGCTGCATCAGGGAGAGTTCAGACTGGACGTTAGGAAAAGGTTTGTCACCAAGAGGGTGGTTGGTCACTGGAAAAGGCTTCCCAGGGAAGTGGTCACAGCACCAAGCCTGTTAAAGAGGTCAAGGAGTGTCTGGGCAATGCTTTTAGTCATATGGATTAGTTTTAGGTGGTCGTGCAAGGAGCAGGGAGTTGGACTCGATGATCCTTGTGGGCCCCTTCCAACTTAAGATGTTGTGTGATTCTATGATTGTAAGTTAGTCGGACGCTGATGGAGTGGCAGGTAACATCCAGTGGTGGGACAAGGACAAGCTGACTGCTGTCACCTGCTCCGTAGGCCTACAACTGGAAGACCAGCTGTAGCATGCAGGCTCTGTGGCACCCTGTGGTGCGCAGGGTGCTGGGAGGCAGAGAGAGTGAAGGAGAAGAGTACTGGCATTTTTAGAAAAACAAAATTCAAGCAGTCTGTTGCTCAAGTCAGAAAGTTATGTTTGTGGTGATTCATCACAAGTCTCCTTTCTTGGTGTGTCGCCATACACGTGACTAATGGAGGAACTTTCCAAAGCTTGTGTCAGCTTCTGCAGTGGAATGTAAATATAACTAGTCTAATACCATAGCAGTAAGTACCTAAGCATAGTGATGGGTCTTTGCAAAGGAATCCTATTTGCACAGTTACTTGGCTGTCTTGAATACCTTCTAGCTCATCAGCTTTTCAAAAGCTTATGTTTGCTCTTTTGTTTTATCTCTGTTGTTGTTCCCCCATCTGATGTAAACTATGCAGGTTACTGGGGACAGCCTGCTGAAGAACTGTCTCTTGAGATCCTTCTTGTTTGAGCTACAGACATGAAGGAAAATAGAGTAGGCACTTCTGAAACGTTCTTGATTCTGCTCATGCCCCTAGGAGCTAGAAACACCTGCTGTATTGTGCTTTATACACAATATACAATCTGCTTTATTTGCAATTATTTTTGCTTAGACAAAGAAAATGCTTATAAACTCCATTAGTCTGGGTGCTCCTTAAACCTGTAGGGAGTGCAGCATATTCTTGCTGACTTTTTCTTCTCGGATCCTGCTACTGTCTTTACTCTAGTTCTGTAGCTTTATCTCTGTTTTCTGATTGTTTCTTCCCTGCAACTAGCTGCATCCCTGGTTCTGAGCCTCTCCTTTCAGGGTAAGTGATTGAACTTCTAGTTTAGTTGAACCTGCCCATTCTAAAAGCTGAGGGAGTACAGTTGTAAAAGCAAGTGTTTTAAAGACATATAAAGGTTTGTAATGAACAGTGGAGAAACAACCAGTCTTTGCTGGGAAAGAAGACTGGCAGCACTTCGGAGTGCAGATTATTGTAATGAGTTTCATATGCTAGGTTTCGACATTTTCTGCTACCATGTATCTGAAGAGCCTGACATCTTGCTGCATGCTTGGAAGACAGAATTGTGGTTGCAGAATATCAAATCATTCCAGTCAATATAGAATTTTTTTTTCTTTTATTAACTTTCAAGTTTGTTTATTGCGCGCTCAAAGCATGTCTTATGTGAGATTGGCAGTCAGCAGTCTCATCCTAAATTACTTCTCCATGAAGATCATGTGTGAAAACAATCCCTTAAAATAGCAGTGTCACTGAATGCACACTTTTTTACACTGGTTTCCTCCAAGAGGAGGAAACCACTGCAGCTAGAACCATTCAGAGTTCTTGGACTAAGTTTCATGATGGCAGTGGGAGACTCTTCAAATAGCCTTTTTTCTGCTGCAGGTAACACTTCAGCTGTACCAAAGCATAATGTTGAGTATATGTGCTTGCTTTTCCCTCTGCCACTCCTAAAAAGAAATAGTGCTCTTGAAATACACCCACCAGTGTGACAGACATTGACTTAGTGATACATCTTTAACCTCGAGACAGACAGTGTTAACAGGTGGTGGTGGTCCACCTCTGGTTGCTGCTCTACCAGAGTGTTTTGAGGAGCACGCGTCTTCATCAGATCCTTTTGCCTGCCTTCTTAGAGTTAGACTAGCAAATATCTGAGCAGGTACTGTCTTGAGCGTTCCTCCTTGGAGGGCTATAGCCTGAGAGATGTATGTACTTGACAAAAGAAACCAGAATTCAAGGTTGAGGAACAACTATGTAAAAACCTATTTAAATTTCTCTTGAGTGTTTTGACCTTTTTTGCCTGTTAATATGGAGGTTTCTTGGTGCAGTCTGAAAAACGGGTTAACTTCAGAGATAACTGAGATTTGGGTCTTCACAATTGCTCATTTTACTGAGGTTTTTTAGATTGTATTGCAAGATGATGTAGGCTTCAGATAAACAACCTCCAAATATTTTGCATTCTGTGAAACAGTTTTTCATGAGCTAAGTGTCTAAAAGAGCTTACAGTCTCCACCTAGACTGAAGAACACCAAGTAAAATATCTTCTTGCTTTCTATCCAAGATCTATACCTAATGACTTTATCCAGGAGGTTCTAAATGCACTTTGCTCATGCACCTCAATAAAGCCATGAATTGCCTCTGTTTCCATGAAGGAGCCTGTTACTAACCAGGCAGTGCTACCTCCCTGCTTGGCTATGAGCAAGGTGGTACTCAGTTCAAATGTTCCAGTATAGGAATCACTGCTTAGACTTCAGATTCCAGTTTCTGCTGTCACAGTTCAATTGGCCAGACTGAAGACTAGCTTGAAGGATGTTTTCAGGAAACTGCAAGCTTGCCTTTGATTTTTTTTTTTTTATTCCAGTTGTCATTCCTTGCTTCCATATTAAAAAAAAAAAAAAGGCATTACTAGTGCAGTTATCTGCGAAGAAAAAGATACTTGAATTTTGACCTCAGTTGAGATTAAAGATGTCACCAAGTATATGAGCGTCTTTTATTCCTGGTACAACATTTGTGACTTGTCCTTGTCTTAACTTGGCCTGTTACATAAGCAGAAGGAACATTCTGCTTGTGGTTTGATTTTTGATGTTTGTTTTTTATTCCTCTCCAGACTTTGCAGTAGCCAGTTCTGATTCCTCTTCTGTAGTTACATTCTTAAAGGAAAAGCCAGACACATCAATGCTTTATGCATGTATCTTCTGAATTAAGGTAGTTTTGGCTGGAATTAAGTTCTGCTCAGGCTGGCTTGATACTCAGTAGGTAGAAAAAGTCTTCCAGCTTCTTTGGGGCTGGAGCAGTATATTTGGATGTCTTTTTCTTGAATAGCTGCTATCTACTTTCATGTCTTTTTCCATGCTTCAGTGAAAGTAGGAATGATGAACTCTCAGAAATATCCCAAGTTGTTTTAGCTGTCCATTTATCTTACAAGCCTTTGCTGCTGAGATCACAGTACTATATTCATGCTTGTGAAACCAGTTTGTCATGAATATATTGAGTTAGTGTGTTTGCAGTTGGCTGGGTAAGCAGTAGTAGCTCTAGCAACTGACCTAATACAGTAAGAAGGGAATGTTCTTTTCCTAAGGACTGAAAATGAAACTTAACCTACCTGGAGTGGAGAGCCCATAGTGGTGACAGCTGCATTTATCTGTCTTTTAGGAAGTTGAAGAGACTGCTCAAGATCATCTGTGCTAATAACCACCTTCATACTGTTAACCTTTGTTAGGGGAAAAGATAAGTCTTATAAACCCATGAAAATGAATTTTTAATGATAAGGTATTAAATTCATTACTTGATCATATAATTTTCATACTGGGCTTTGTGCTCAAAGGCCCTTCTTCACACTTGAATCTTGTAAATTCTTGTGAATTGGAGCTGTGTCCCTGCTCATTTTGTGGTTCAGTGGAAAGAAGACTGGGAAAGAATATGCTGTGGATGACACTAAGAAAGCATTCAATAGCAGTGGCAAGAATAAAGGATTAAGTGCATTATAATGACTGTAGGAATTTATGTTCAGGCACTCTGAATCCTTTCTGTAGAACAATTTTTAGGGCTGTTCCTTTTTATTGTAAAGAGATGTGTGGATGGTGGTCTGGAAAAATAGAGAAAAATGTCTGTCTTCTGCCCTGACTCAAAATATTCTTCTAGACTGATGCAGGAGGCAGAAAACATACCTCAAGATGGATCAAAGGCATGTTTATGACTGTAAGAATTGTTGGGTTTGAGTAAGAAAAAACAGTGTTCTTACTCTTGCTTTTATCTTCCGCAGGCAATTTTGACGACTTCAGCTTACAAGATGCATTTGGTAATTATTACACTCTTGCAAATTTTGGGAGGTAGGTGGGAAAATAGTGCCTGCTGTTTTGATTTGTTTGTTTCCTGAGTATCACTGCATGACCAAGCATGACACCTTCCCCGCTTTGTTTAAACCTCAGTGGAACAACTCAGCTATGGGTATATCAAAATGTTGACTGCATAGAACTGAAATCTGTCTTTGGGAACAGTCAGGGATTCCTCTTAAGGAGAAAATGTCTTGCTGTATAGACTTAATCTTGTGCTTTTCATTGTATAGACATAGGCTTACATTTGTCTTCCATGTGTCTTCTGAACAGTGTGTTAAATAGTATTTAAACTTTTTTTTTCCTAATCATCCTTGACAGACACTACAAAGAAGCCTGTTCCATCTCAGAAGCCACCACCATCAGATTTAGGTGAGATCTAATCAGCTTGTAGTGTTTTTTACTGTGAAGTCAAGTGTAGTTGTACATACTAATTAGAGAGCCTGAATTTTTCAATTTAGTGGTACACAGAGTTGTGCTATTTCTGTAAAAGAAAGCAGTTCCCTAATAGCAAAAGGAGTTCTGCATTTTGGGATCTTCTGCTAGTGCTTTCACGGATTTACGTTGTAAATTTTTGATTTCACAAGCTTAAAGACTCTGTGAGAATCCCTTCTGTTGGGTTTCAATCTGCATGTTGAGATTGCTCACCTTGAGATGGCCCTTGGCATGTACCATGATCACCAAAAGCAGCATGTAGTTTGTCAGATAATACCTGTGGTGCTCTTTTGTGGGCCACTGTTTGAGTGAGCTTGCCATTATATTCTTGGTGAAAACATTGGCAGGTGTATTTTGTGTAAAAGTAGTTTAAAACTAGCTCAGTTTTTGCATTACATTTAAAACTTCCCTTCTTTCTTTGTAGATTATTTAGACTTGGAACATGCTCTTCAGCCTGGTAAGTATCATGTTTTCCTGGATACTGCTCAGTGGTTCTTGGTGCAATGTCTATCCATCCTGTATTACCTAAATATTATAAGGGCACTGAGTTGATTAATGTACAGACTGCAGATAAAAATAATTGTAGTCTAGTTATGTTTATTTACCTTCATTTTTAAGGGTCTGGATCACAAAACCTGTATGTGTTTCACTCATTTCTTAGCCAAGTCCTCCTACTTGTTTCATTGCTGTGTCTTCACTAGATGGCACTAATTCCATGACTATTACTTACGGAAGTAGCTTTTAAATCTGAAGTAATATCTTCCTTTCCAGCAAGTAATTTTAGTAGCACAAAGAAACATTAATCTGTTTGAAATAATATGAGGAAAGGGAGTCTTTCTAATGTGCTTCAGCTCTGCAGTGAGGGCAGCAGTAGAAACCGCAGTATTGTTTTCACTCAGGCAGTAAAAGGTGCATCCAGTTAGGCAGATAATGCACAAGTAGCTTTTTGAGTATCACCACCAGACCTGTTGCTGCACAGACAGCTTTCCTAACACAGGAAACAACAACATACAGTTGTGGGACAGTAGCACTGTTTGCTGCTCTGTTTTATTTAGCCCTTTGAAGTTTTGTCTCTCTTAAAGCAGTCCGTTTCCAGATGCTGAGACTTCTGAAAACAGAGTTGGCTAATTGAGAAACGGTTTGCTGAGTGAATAGATAGTTCAGGTAAGCAAAGAGAGAGGATCCTTTATAAGATTGAAAGCCTAAGTTGGGGTATTAGAACTGTGCTTCGGAAGTGCCTGCCTCTCTAATTTGGGTGTTCAGAGAGCCTAAGGAGTCCTCATTGTCACAAGTGGGCAGTTTAGATCACTTAAAGAACCACTGTCAAAGGTGTTAGCAAAGATGTTTTTAATGTGATGATGTAAAAGTGTGAATTAACTGAGTTCGATGGCAAGGTTCACTTCGCATGGGTAAAAATACAAAGGAAAATTGAATTACACTCGAGTTAGAATTATTCACAGAGAGACTAGAGATGAAAGGGTAAGGAGAACCCTCCTGTTGAGTCACGAGGTTCAGAATGGACCCCCTTGCTTTCTAAATTCCTTCTCAGAGAGGAGTCTAGGTGTGGTTGGATCCGGACTTAGTCCCAGACTTGGTCAGCAGTTTATGTCTAAAGGATTATATATGAATGTTTCATTAGCACCAATTCATCATGCAATCAAAGTTACCAAGGCAAAATGAAAGTTATCATACTACAGGGTTATGCATGACATTGGTTGCTTACTGAAGATCTGCTGTTGGTAGAAGGTCTCTCTGCCTCAAGGATCAACCTTGAGGGGCACCCCAGGTGAAGGGGAGATGAAATGAAAGTTATCATACTACAGGGTTATGCATGACATTGGTTGCTTACTGAAGATCTGCTGTTGGTAGAAGGTCTCTCTGCCTCAAGGATCAACCTTGAGGGGCACCCCAGGTGAAGGGGAGATGACCGCCATGCAGCCACACTGCCTAGCAGGGAGAGCTCAGAGAAGTCTCACTTAGGCCATCATATTTATGGGATAAAGTGGTGAGCTCATAGTCAAATTACATGCGATGGGCAAGGTATGCATGAGACCCCTTGTACCCCCAGCTTTCTTTATTCCTTGATAAATGAGTCTTGGAGAAGCCACCTGCTACTCATGTTAATCACATGATCAGCGTTCCAAGCTTATATGCATCAGTTCTCACTGTGCCGCTCTGCTCCTTTGTGGGTTTTTCAGAGAACAGACTGAAACTAGAGGAGCTCTTGGCCTGGCTGTGGCTCAGGCCTTTATCTCATTTGGAGCCTGTACCAAACTACTGCTAGTTTGGTTAAGGGGTTGAGTGCATCTGCCACGCTGATCTAACTTGTGCTAGAGCTGGGAGGAGGCAAGACCATGCAACATCAAGAAGAAGTAGCATACAAAAGAAATGGGCCACTAGGTGGGTTCAGCTGTTGGTGAAAACACAGTTGTAGAAAACCACTGCTGGTATGTTAATTTGATGTGGGCAACAAGGACTGTGACCAAAGAGTACAGAGAAATTATTAAGATCTCGTAGTATCCTTATTTTGTTGCAAGCTAAATGAAGTGTCATTGTGGGGACCATATTTATAGTTCTATTGTGTGTATCTTGTCTTCTTTTTTTTTTTTTTTTTTTGAGGTACCAACCTTTATTATTGGTTAAAATCTGTTAGTTTTAAAAGAGGAAACAGCCAAGTACTCTATACCTGCTAGAAAAATTTAAAGATGCATTTGAAATCAGATGTGCAAACTAAAATGCTGCATAAGACTTAGTGAGGAGTTCTGAATACGTTCAGTTGTAGCAAGGGTCTGACATACAGGCTAATGTAACAGAAACACTGTTAATTGTGTTAAAGTACAGTGTTTAACCTAAAATAACCAAACAAATACAGCATTAGCTAATGAAAGGAAAATGACACGGGAAAGATAAGTCTTTCAAGGTCACTATATGCTCTGCTTTTGGTCTCTTCACACTAGTAACTGTGGTCACTTTATCCTAACTCTATTTGTCAACAGATGACCCCAAGCCAGGTCCGCCTGCAAATCCTAGAGACACTGGTAAGACTGACCTAACAGGAATTTCTGAACAGTAGAAAAGTATTTATTAATCTTTCCTAGTCCCTTTCAAAGTTACTGTATTGTAGTCTGCTTTTGATCTCTTAACATTTTTCTTTTTTTTCTCCTAAATCTCTTTCGTGTGTAGATAACCCCAAGCAAGGTCCACCTGCAAATCCTAAAGACAGTGGTAAGGCTTCTAGCGCAAACTCTTGAATCATGACATGGTTTTACTATCTCAATTAAACTTATGGTAATAATTCCTTGGTAATTGGCTGCTATGTATGTCAGATGTTGCACTGGATAAATACTGACTGAGGAAGGATTGCCTTGCAAATAAGCTTTGCAGCAGTCTTGAAATTCCATAACAAACCTGTTGAGTCACTTTCCTTTCACCTAAAGGCGGGATGGTGTGGGGAGGAGGAAGGACGGGACAGTATGTGTGCTTGGGGCAGTGCTGTTCTTGGCTGCCTGCGGTGGAGCGCCTGTGTGATATATTGAGTCCTTTCATCTTTACAAATTGAATCCCTGCTAGTTGTGCTAAAAAGTAAGTAGGAAATACCTGTGATCTGTATTCTTAAAGCATCTACGTAAAAGGTAAAGCTCAAAATTAAAGGGTTAATTTTTTAGGTTTTTTTTTTAAAGGCCCCAGTTAAGAAATACAATTCTGTTGTGTTTGAAAGGTAGGCTTAAAATACATGTCCTTCCCTGCCTGTTGTGCTTTAGAGGTCTTCTCTGTCTTTGCCTAACTCAGAACAAGACAGATTCAGATGGATGTAGCTGTGATGATGCCATCATCCAGGAATATGGTGGAAAAAGAGTCCTTACCTTGAATGCAAGCCCCGGTTCTTGTTCCTTCTTCTGCCTGATTTGCAGCAGAGATTTTATTTCAGTTCTTGCCTGCTTCACTACAGTGCTTTTGCCACCCAACAAAAAACATACTCTGATGCAATGCTTTTATTTTTGCTGCTTGAAGCAGATTTGCTTTGCATAAACTAAAGTTTCATTTGGCAGCAGAGGGAAGGAGAACTCTGGCCCCATGAGGAAGGGTCCAGTGGAAATGGAGAGGGACTGGTTTAGTGTCCTGCAGTAAGTCAGAGGAGGGAATTACATTTGGATCTTCTAATTGTCAGGCAAATACTGCAGTCACTGGACTGTGGCATGCTGAACTCTTATCCTCTAGCTGCTGTGTTGTACAGGATCAAAAATTGGTTGTGACTTAGCAAACCAACTCTGAAGAAATATTCACAGCTGCAGCCTTGAAAAGAAATGGTCCTTTCCTGTCCATGTTCTTTCTCTGCTTTAACAGGATAGTGAGACTTGATCTGTTCCAGTTAAGTATCTTACAGGGCTTCTTGCTTGCTTAGCCTATGATTTGTGCAGTACTGCCTGCTCTTGGACACTGACTTCTCTCAGTTGTTCAGGAAGCCAGAGGCAGCAGTGCTGCTATCACACTGTGTAGTGCCGAGCTGAAGGGACTTGAAATTGGGAGGACTTTTGAAACGTGAACATGTTGTGACTATGATGCTGAGTTTAAAACCGCCATGAACTCAGCTGAACGATCTAGAGAAAAATTCCATGTTGTTATGTGCCTTGAGGTGTCTTGTCACAGAACTCAAAACACGTAAGATAATACTGTTTTTACTTTTTATAGGCAACTTTGATGACTCAGATCTATATGATGGCCGTTCACCACAAGGAGGTGATGGTGGTAGTAACAGCAATGGTAAGACAGTAGGTTGTGCTTCATATTGATCGTATGGCTACCTGAGCTTTTGATAAAAGCTTGCTCACAAGCTGGTTAACATGGTCTAACTTGTAACACTTTTGATTCTGGTATCTGAAACTTAAGAGCATACCTTCCAGTTCAACAGCAATGTATTCTGTCTCTGCCAAAACCCCCCAGATAATTAAGCGGTAAAACTGGTCTAGGAACCTTCAATGATTTTTACTGTTACGCTAAGAAAGATGGTGTTTAAAACTGAGATGTGAATGTGGTACTTATTTCAAAATTCACCACAAATATAGTTCTTAAAGGCATCCAATTTTCAGATCTTCTGTGTCATAAGTTTCTTTTAGTTCTTGTGGTTAGGTACCCCAAGGATGGGCCAGAAGAGGGTCTACCTTGTGTTCTCAGAGATTTCATCTGTTCCACAGGATGAATTGATCCTTAGACTTCCAAATGATGTAGGTTATATCTACTCTGAGCAGTATAAAAACCAAACTTGTTTTGTGTAATCTGCCATGTCTAATTCTTACAGTTTACTTTGAAACAATACAAGTTTGACATTGCTTTCAATTCTGAATAATGTATACAAACCTTTTCTTTTTTTCAGCTTCTCAGGGAGCAATAGCTGGAATTGTAAGTGCTGTGGTTGCTACTGTAATTGGATCAGTATCTAGTTTCATTGCTTACCAGAAGAAGAAACTCTGTTTCAAGCAAAGCGGTAAGGATTCTGAATTAGCTTTGTTTTCAACTGTCTAAAGAGATGTGGTTTTATATTTTTAGGGGGGCTAGAAATTGATCTTATGCATAAATTACTTTTAAGAGCACAGTGAATTTGTTTTCACAGAGAGTAACCTTTCTTACTAGTCATCTAAGACAGGGTGTCTGAAGAAAGTCTCACCCAAAATTTAGACTTTCAGAAGCAGACAGACTTAAGGCTTTGCATTTCTTAAAATAAAAGCACTTCCTGATAAAGAGTAAGCAGGAGAGACTGCAAGGAAACATTTCTTTAATGAAATTTGAGTGGAGGTTGGGAATTAGAGACTATTTTCATGCTGGAAAATACCTTGTAATTTCTAATTTTGTAAATCTTGCCTTTGTGTCTTCACAAGATGCTTGCCTACATATTAGGTTTCTGACAACTACCCAGATGTCCATCCCCAAATGATTCTTCTGCAGTTGCCTATTTCTTGCTATCTACTTCTTTTACACCTAAATAAGATGTAACTTGGATCAGAGAACTTGAATAGTGCTGAGGGTGATAGGTGGGGCAGAAGCTTTGTTTTTGTCCCTTCTAGTGTTTCTGACTGGTTGGTGAAGGGGGATGATAGAACAGCAATCCAGCCAGGCACTGCTGTTTTGTAATTTGGGAAGTTTGGAAACTGAGTAAGGTCTACCATGCACATTGAAATTAACATGTGGGCAACACAAGGGAAACTCAACTACTATCAGTAGCACAGTTTCTTCAGTGCTATTTCTTCTCTCAAATTATCTCTATTAATCAACAGCTTTGAAGATAAGAGAATATGAATGCTAAACATCTTTGTTTCCCAGCAGATGAAGAGAATGTGAATATGGAAAGTCATCGGGGAGCACAAACTGAGCCACCTGGTAAGAGAAGAATCTAGATGGAAGATCAACATTTGGATGGGGATCCTATTAAATGCACTTTATTGACATCTAACATAGTGGAGAAAATTACATGACAACTAACTTAGAACTGAATCAAGATTTCAGTTCTGGTATGTCGTGGTTTAACCCCAGCTGGCAGCTAAGCACCATGCAGCTGCTTGCTCACTACCCTCCTTGCCCAGTGGGATGGGGGAAGAATTGAAAAAAAAAGGTAAAACTCATGGATTGAGATAAAGATAGTTTAATAGGACAGCAAAGGAAGATAGAATAGTAGTAGTAATAATTATAATAAAGAAGTAAAAGAAGAAGAATATGCAAAACAAGTGGAGCGCAGCGCAGTTGCTCACCACTCACTGACTGATGCCCAGTTAGTTCCTGAGCTGCAGTGCCTCCCTGGCCAACTCCCCCAATTTATATACTGTGCACGATGTCGTATGGTATTCAACATCCGTTTGGCCAGCCTGTGTCCCCTCCCAGCTCCCCGTGCACCCCCAGCCTCCTCGCTGGCAGGGCAGAGCGTGGGAAGCTGGACTGTCCTTGACTGCTCAGCAACAACTAAAAACGTCAGTATGTTATCAACATTATTTTTATCCCAAATCCAAAACACAGCACTATACCAGCTATCAGGAAGAAAATAAACTCTATCCCAGCCAAAACCAGGACATAATAATATGTTCACTCTCCTCTAGTTTTATATTCTTTGAGCAGATTGGTTTATTGCCTTGAGGAGTCATTCAAATGCAGGAGCTTAGGCAAAGTAAAGAATTGCATTTTCTCTGCAAAAGTGTTATTAAAGACAATTATGAAAACACCAGCCTGCTCCTTTTGTGTGATATGTAACAGCAATTGGCTGACAGGTGTTTTATTAGTGTATGTTGTGTCTGATTGGAATCTGATACCTTTTTTGATTCTAAACCCATATAGAACTCTGCAAGAACGCATATTCAAAAAATGTAATAGTGTTTGAGCAGAGATGAAACTATACTGGAGGCAAGGATGACTGAATTTATTAACATTTTGCTGTAACTAAAGCATTCTCTGTTGTGAACAGAGAATGATTCTTGTATGAATCAAATCAAAGAATCATCAAATAACAAGTCTTTCTACAATGGTGACAGCTGTGGAAGGATCTGTTTTAAAGAAATAAAACCCCTATCAACCTCACCCTTCCAGGTATGGTTGTCTAGGGTACTTGGCTGATGGAACAGGTGATTATTTCCAGGAAAGCCATAGATAGGTCTGGTGGAACAGTATAGGTGAAAACTTGCCCTTCTAGCCCTTGTGACTGGTCAATAAAGGAAGAAGCAGTATACCCTCATGCTGAAGTTTGTTGAGTGTCTTTGAAATACCGAATATTAAAACCTCAAAGCAGTATGAACTTGCAATATATTCTTCTGTGAGCTTAGTCAAAAACTTGCAGAACTAGTTCTGGTTTTTTTAATAATTTAACAAAAAAAAAAAGTTAATACCTTATTTCTTTCAGGTATTTAATCAGCTTGCTAAAAACTTCCATCTGGCTCATGATCCTCTTTATAAACATTTTTCCTTTAAGCTGTTAAATATATAAAACTCTCAAGGAGAAAACATTTTTTTGTGACTGGCTGTTGAAGTCAGGACCGGCGATAGGCAGGTATCCTCAATTCAGGTATGCCTTAGTGAAGCAAGCAATATTGTTCAAAGACCTCTACCAAAGGCTGTTAACAGATGAGTTTGAGTCAGGGTATGCTAAAATTTTGGCCAGGATTCACCAGGATCAGGTGTGAAGTGCATCAGATGATGCATACTTTATTTTAACTGATAAAGTCAACCCTGGGATGCTATCATACATGATCACTCCTGCCTACATGTTGAAGTCATGTTAAATCACAAATTTTATACCTCTGTTATATTTTGCAGGCAAGCATGAGCATGTTTTGAGCCAAGACACTGGGCAGCCATGGTCAGCATGGCGCTACTCCTGATCTAAGTTCTGGGAGTAAGCAGACCTGAGCTCTTCTTTTGGTAATATAGTGTTGATGTACCTACATGGCTTCTAGTTAGAAGCAGTCTTGCATTAAGCCAGGTCAGATGGCATGTCAGAACAGGGTTGCATTTTTAAAATTTTATGTAGACTTATCTTTGACTTCCTGAAAATGGAGATAGCCTAGGCTAGCACTTTCTTTCAATAACCTGCTTTTTCCATCAGGTATACAGACTGTACTCCATTTCATTTTTGCATCCTCAAAACTGCAAGTCTGAAACTGCATGTTGGGCTATACTGCAAGTAGATAGCTAGACGGATCTAGGAGGATGTGGTTATTTGAGTGAGGGTACTGGCTACACAGAATCAAGCTTCTGCTTACCTGAATTCCACAGTTTTAAATGCCTACTGAAAAAGTTTTTTTGTCCACATAATACTGTTGCATAGTAGTACATAACTTAAAACGTATACTAACTTAGTGTACTAATCTTGAGTTGATTTTCACTTTTTAGTTCAGCGCACACTTCTGGAGAACTAAATTAAAGAAAACATGATGAAGAACAGACCACTGAAACTGGATAGAGAGCCTGCCTTCTGCCTGGGGAAAAAAAAAAAAAAGGAAACAAAAAAAGCATAATAAAAAAGCAGAGTCTGAAGTTGCATGAGAAAACAGTTCTTGTTTGAAACACCTCTGGGAGTGTGACTTAGACCTGAGTACTTCTGTATGGTTAGCCCTGTGAAGCATTGTTGCACACCAATATATGGCCTTAATGACAGGAGCGTAGAAGTATGTTGTGCCTTTACATTCTTTCCTGTACTTCTGTGACAAATGGGTGTGTCTCAAGTGCATTCAGTGTGTTTAACTTTTCCTTATCTCTCCAAAACCAAGCAATTAATGTTTTGTTACACCATTGCTTTCAGGCAGTGCAAACATTTTTTTAATACCTTGTACGCAGTGAGTGCACCAACCAACTTGGTCCATGGTGTAGGCACCTGAAAGCAAATAGCTCACTGTGTGTGGATAATGGATCTGGGTGTGGGTACTGCTGATACGATCTGTGTAGCTGCCTGGGTCAGCCACCAGGGAAGAGACACTTGCGCTTGAGCATCCAGGAGACAAAAATTCAGTTTTGTTTTTGCATTTTTTTTCATTGCATCTGTCTGGTACAGATTCAGAACACCCAAACTAGTGCACACAGGCCCTTTACCCTTTCTGGCTCTTCCTGCTTGGCAAGTACTGAGCTGGTCAGATGTGGAAAAGCCTGATTTGCAAATCAGAACCATAATTGGATTTTGTACATCTGGTGAGATTGATGTTTGGCAGTTGTCTGAACAATTGTGGATGAAGTATTGAGGAGTGGGGATTAACATCTTCACACTTCCATAACCAAAACCAACAGAAAATAATGTGATACTTTGAATTCAGAAGGCTTATCATACGCAGTTAAAATACAGAAACAGTACTACAATTTGAAAGTGTTTAATAGCAACACTGACCATAACAACCCAGCCCCACTCCACAAGCATCCATTGAACAGTATAAGTAGCATACGTGTGAAGAATGCTTTTGGACTTGTGAAGGATTGCCATTGGGATGAGGACCTATGACGGCATGCTCAACTGAAAGCAGTTGTGAGCTTTGGTGTGGCTCTTGAAAGCCACAGGAAGGTTTCAAGGAGCTGTGGAAACATGGAAAACTGTGTAACTCATAACAGTTAAAGGACCAAGTCTGGAATAATAACTAGCTCTGTCTGGAAGGAATAGTCTGACCAGTTCTGTTGGCTTTCATTCTAATTGTTTCCAATTTTCATGCAGTTTTACAATATGTGTCTTACTAATGTGCTTCAGCCACCTGGCAAAGTTCTGCAGAAAGATGGAACATCTTAGAAGTCATTATGAATATGGATATTAAACATGTAAATATATCTGTGCATTCAAATATGAATGTATGCCAAGGATAATTCATTTACGAATTTCTTGTACATGTTTCTTAGCTTGCAACAAAGCTTTACATAGATTTTAGTATTTTGTTATGGAATTAATTTGTAAACCTCTTTTTGCCCCTCTTCTGCTTTTAGTATAAAAGTGTGGAAACCTTTAAGTGTGTTTGAGGGTGGAAAATTGATTTTTATATAAACATTTGATCTATGTAAATACAAAGAAATTAAATGTACTGCTTACCTAAATGAATAAACAGGTATCTTGTATCAATGCCAAGTGTAGAGGAAACAGAAATAAGCCAGTGTTTGTTAGGGATAGAATGGCAGGGGAAGCTCAAACTAGCTTTTAGCTAACCAGACTCTTGAATCATTCTTCAGCTTTTGCAAGCCTGAAAATTACTTATTAAAACCTCTTATCAACATTGTGATTTTTCTATAAATAAATTAAAAAAAAAAAGAAAATGTTTCTGTATTTTCCTTCTTAGTATCTCTAGAAATACAAAAATTTTGGTGCTCTACGAGAGAAGCACTCCCCAAAGGGTGTTTGTCTTCCTGTTCCATCAGCAATTCAGGTTTATTTCTGACAGACTTTTTAATCATTTTAGAAGGAAGTTGGCCAGTAGCAACAAAGCTGTGAGCTGCTTTCACAGGGTGCTTACCAGTGTGAAGTGCAGAGAAGACATCTATCTCTGGGAAGGACAGGCACAGCTTTTGAAGAAGAACACCTGGATTTGGTAACACAGAATCTACTGAAAATACACACAGCAATAGCAGGCTTACTATGGGCAAACTCAACGGTGTTTGTGTTGAGAAGGAAGGAAGACCGGCTGCCACCACCTAGGAAGAAAAGGTTAAAGAGAAGGCTTGAAATTTCAGGCTGTTCTTTGTAGTAAGCAAGAAACTGCCAGTGTATGGGTTTCTGTTACGTATCTGTGGATAAAACATACCAGTTCACTTATTTTTCAGTTAGCAACATAGTAATGAATACTGATTAATTAGTGATATTTGCCTCGCTGCACACTGAGACTTTGATTTTGTGCCTTCCTAGGTCAACTGGTCATGCATTGTGTAACTAAATACCCTAATTCATTCGTTC